AAGGCCAACAAGAAATTCAAACACCCTATACTTCTCTAGATGTTTCTGATAGGTAGCTGCATCCTTAGTGGTTTCCCAAGCAAATGTCTCTAAATGGTCAATCTCYTGCYATAGGGTTTYAAGGGCTGAAAAATAGGCTGCAACAAGTCTATCTCCCTGCCTTGTAGAAATAATCTGATTTCTCAACTGATAAGCCCTAGCAACATTCTCCCTCTGTGAATGGGTTTCTGCAACCCATCCCATATTTCCTTAGCTGTATTTGCCCATAAAAATTTTTACTTATATGGGGCAACATGGAATTACACAAYCAAGTCATCACCATATAATTCTCCTGTACCCATCGGGAGTTGCTAGTTTCGGGTTTCACCTCTTCACCAGTGATATACCCTAATTTTCCACGAGCACCAATGGCCATCTTTGCAGATTGTGACAATTCTAAGTAATTTGCACCATCCAACCTAACTGTAGTAATGGTCCCAGCCCCGAAAGGGTCTCCAGCACCTCCTCCCATTGGTCCCATTTTACTCCCGGGCTTATTTTCAACTCCGTGGCCCTCCATGCTTCTCAAAAAATGTAAAGAAAATAACTGAAATTTGCAACAAAATCAAACAAAGCACTTTTTGGAACCAACAAAAGATTCCTTTTCTGTGGAATGGGAGAAGAGAGAGAAGAGGCAGCCGCTCTCTCTAGAAGCCTCCAAATCAGGTAGGACTTGAATCGCCCTTTACAGAAAACTCCAAGGAACCCTAAAAAATTAGGGCACCACTTCATAGGTCAAAATTGAAGAGTCCAATAGAAACAAGACTCTTTCCCTTTCTCCATTTTTTCTTGATTTTGATGAGAAACCGTAGACAGCTACAGGGCACACAGAGCCACCAAAAAAATCCAAAAACTGGGCTTACCTGAGAGATTGGATCAGCTTCTTACATCACCATGCAGTCGGCCGATCTAGGGCCGCATGAGAGAATGACTCAAGGAACCTTCGGCCTGCTCTGATACCAAGTAGAAATCACTAATTGCAGATTTAGTCGAGTTTCTTGTGAAAGGAAAGAGGAGGAAGATGAAGATTTCAGCAGTAGAGAAGAAAGGAGAAGAAGAAAAGAGTAGGAAGTCAACCAGGATTGTAAAAAAAAATTAACCCTAGCTGCCAACCTCTCATTATATTTATACTTAACTTAAAGGATGTGATATTACAAGGATGCCCTTAGTAGGGCGGCTACTAATATAGCTGAACAGTCGCAACTTAAAAATAAACATAAACTAATGGGAAAGGAAGGGGAGCCTATACCTATGCATATATAGACACTTTTATGCTGTATTTGGTTTGAAAGAAAAGGGAAAGGAAGGGGAGCCTATTCCTTAATTGAGTTATTTTCCCTTCCTTTCCTTTCAAACCAAACATGGAGCCTATTCCTCCCAAAACTAATGAAACTCAAATTTATGATTTTTCCATTTATTTTTATTTGATATTTGATAGGTAATTTTGCCACTCAGTTTCCAAGAGCTAAGTAACTCTAGAAACTAATGATCTAAAATTGTAAACACAAGTTAACCATAACTACACAAATCAAACTAAAATGCTGGACCCGACATGCAATATGTAAGATGACCAAAATTCCCCTTATGTCTAAAAGTAAGAAATACCTATAAAATACAGATAATCCCAATTTGATTTGTTTGCTCCCACATCATTGTCATGTTATATAGAATTTCTGGCATGCATTGTTCTGTTAGTTGTAATGTGTAATAATCTAACAGGATTGCATTGTCTTTTCCTTTTTTTCTTTGAAAAAGGTAAGGTAATTTTATTAGACGATCACAATATGCAACAACCACAGGGTAAAAACAAAGCATTACCATACCTTGGAGTACAAAGATACAAATCAACCATTTCACAAACAGATTACAGGAATTTCCATGTGGATAGATGATTAAAGTCTTTAGGAGCAGCGGCCCATGACCCAATCCTACAACTGGCTATCCCGATCAGTTCCTCCCTGGATTTGGACTTATTGTTAAATACTCTATTGTTCCTCTCAGTCCAGATCATTCAAACCACAGCAGCAGGTACCAATCCCCACACAATCAAACCTTTCTACTCATGCCAAGAGGCAGCCAGCCAGCAAGTAATTTAATGACAGTCTGAGGAACAACCCAACATAGCTTAGCAGCCCTCTAAGCAGTCTGTAATTTTTGTTTTCTTTGTACTAAAATCTTTTTTCCTGATCTGTAACAGATCATAGTCATAGATCCTTAAAACAAGATCTTTTCCATATTGTCAAAAAGGAAACAAGATACAAGTTTGTTTCTAATTTCTATATATTTAATAAGTTCTTTTTTTCTGTTATTTTGTTTAAGACTGTTTATCTGGCTATGTTTGGGATTTACATTTATTTCCATTAGCACTTACTGCAAGTTAATTTTACACTAAAAACAAAACTTGTGGTCTCAACATTGTTTCTTTTGTCTGTAGGTTGGTGATCAGGATGAAAAACTAGCAGAAGGAATCAAGCTTTATGCAATACCAACAACTGCAACCTCAAAGCGCACCATTTTAACTGACCTTATCACGGTATGCATGAGTTTACCTTTCTAACTGGTATTCACGGGTGTTAGAAGTTGCTTTTTATTTTCTCTTTGATTGATAAGAAAAGATTTCTTAGGTAGTAAGACAAACTGTAGAAATCAAAGAAATGTGATCCTAGCTGTACAATGGAAACCCATTAAATATACAGTTTTTATGATTTCCAAATATAAAGCATAAATTTTCTAGTCTCTTGCATTGGTAAATGGCTTAACTCTATAAGTCTTGCCAAGGATGCCCAGTCTTAATATAAAAGCCCATGGCAACATGATTCTGTTTTTGACAGGTAACCGAACCAAGGGAATGCATTTATTAAAGAACACTACAAATACAACCATCTAACTACTTTAGTGGTTATAGGATTTAATAGAAACCTCTCTAATTGGGGGCAATATAGGAAACTGATTATGTAAATCAGTAAATACAAGGTAAACTTATCATGGGCTTCCCTCAATGCAACACTGCTTGGCCAACCCCTCCTCTAGCAAGTCTCAGCCATGGTGTTACATAATCTTCTAATTCATTTGAACAAGATGTTTGGCCTGAATACTAGATCCATAGCCTCTCTTATATGATGTTGCTTAGGGCCGTCAATGCCATCCATCTCTGAAACAGCTAATAACTACATGAAAATGTCCTTCCTGTTCTATCTGTTTTGGTTTGAATAATGATAGGAATCTGAGACCTTGGAGCAATGACTTTTGTTTCTTCTATTACTGAATCTCTACTGTACTGGGCCTGGGTATGCCATCAAGGGTATCACCTTTTCATTCCTATAAGCACCTGAATTTCTAATATAGCAACACCAATATTGAGTTTGACTAGTTCTTGAGGAGGTGGTATCCAATCTTGAACTACCATCTGCCAGTTTAGATGTATTAGAATTAGTCACTACTGACAAACTACAAGCCTTCTCATCTGCACCCAACATGGAAGTCAAATAGTGATAATACCAGTCAGGACCTCTAGCTGCAATTGGCTTGAGAAGATTCCTTGGATTTCCGAGTGACCCACTGAATATCAATTCAAGTGCATCTCCATAAAAGCTCTCCTCCTTGTGGGGGGAGATGGTTGATTGAATCCAAAAATGTTAGGAAAATTGGGAGGTACCATATAATATAACACCAAATTAGGTAGAAAAAAGTCTGCAGATTGTGACTTAGTATGTGCAAGTCATGAAAATGTGGTAGGTAGCTTCATCTGTTGTCTTGCGAAGAACATACATATGGAGGAAATAGGGCCAGGTCTTTCTTTTATGCTGCTTTATTTTCCAAATTTTGAATTTGTAAAGCATAATTTCTCAATTAAGGACTCTAGTTTTATGTGTTACCAAATGGCTTTGACTGGAAACACCTCTAGTGGAGAGCAGTGCTATGAAAGTACCAACTAGTCCATCTACTAGTTAGTTGAGGGTAGGATGACATCTAGGGATGTCAAGGGTCAAGTTAAACTGTAAAGTGCAAATCCATCTTGACCTAACCTTTAGGGTTGGCTAAGGTTCAGGTTTATTTTGGTATAGGGTTGGGTTAGGATTTTGATACCCTAACCCAACCCTATACATATATAGGTTTGGCTTACCCACTATGCTGGGTCATGATACCCCTACATATATAGGTATTTCTTGTAATTTGCTATGACTTCTAACTCCATAGCCTTATTGTTTAGGATTTCTTTTCATGTTTATTTTGGTTTTTCTTCTTTCACTAATGGAGGAAGTGACACCTTAGAATCTATAAACCTAATTTCAACTTAAGTAAATGGCTTTTTGATTTTCAAAATGTGTCATAAAAAATACAATTGAAAGACTTCAGGTTCAGTCTGGTTGGTATTGGATTCAACCCTATAGGGTTGGGTCAGGCTCGGAAATGGCATGTTTCTGAGTTAGGTTGGGTCAGGTTCGGGTAGGAACATTAGAAGGTTGGGTTAGGATCGAGGCAAACCTGTACCAAACCCAACCTGTCGACATCCCTAGTCTGTATCACTAACTAGTCAGTTATTTGAAGGTTTTATTTGTTCGTATTTATTTCTAATTACTTGTAGTAATATGATTATCTTTTTAGTTTTTATATGCACACTGTTGCTTCAAGTATTTATGATATATAGAATAGAAACAAACTTGAAGTAATATGGTGTATCTTTTTAGTTTTTATATGCATAATGTTGCTACAATCATTTATGATAGAGTATGTATATGATAGATAGATAACTTATTTATGGGATAGCATCAACATCTTAAATTTAAGTAAAAACTGTACTGCACTCCACCTCAGAATTCTAAATTCCACTGCATACCTACAACAATTCAAAATTTAAAATGCCCCCACCTATAACATCAATACCCACCTTAAGAGGCCAAGATGACTAATCATTTGCTTCACCACATTGACAACAATGGTTGAGAGGGGCTTGTTATAAGGGTTGAGAATTAATAGGAAAGGGAGAAGACTCCTTGTGGATGATTTGGACCAGATATGACTATGAAAACTAGTAGAGTCTTGAAAACATTTGATACACAAGGAGGGAAATGATAATATGAGTTTCAAAACCATGGGTACCTCCTTGGAATGCAAAATCTTATAAAATACTAGATATGCTATACCGGTATGTTGTGAAAGAGGCATTAGATAGGGGTGTTCGTGGTTCCCCGTTAACCGAACTGTGTGCACATATTTGAAACCGAACTGGAACCTTTGGTTTTTGTAAAATGTGAAACCAAAATTGAATTGAATCAGTTGATTAACAGGTCATTAATTGATAAATTTGGTTTTCCATTTTTTGGTTTTTTATATTATAGATGGATGGATAGATATGTCTTTTAAGTGGTTGAGGATGTTTGCTAATGGGGACAGAAAAAAGGGGGACAAGTATATCAGTTGTATTGGGGTCTAGTATCTCCCTATGCTTATTCTGCTCCCCACTGAATGGTTCATCTGCTTTGCACAGAACTTCCCTATCCTTACTCTCCTGAGCCTCCAACTTCCTTTTGGCTTCAACTAAAGCAATTAACAATGCAAAAGTTAGGTCAATCCCCTCTACCACTATTCGCAATTCAAATGATTCACCTGCATAGAATAGGTCAACATTCGTCGGATCAATTTAACATCCCTTGTTTCAACAAGAATTCTTGCAAATAGATCTGATATCATAGTCAGATGCGAAAATCGAAATTCCTGAATTTACCACAAGCATTCCCAATTGATTTGAGTGCTTGAGTGCTCCAATCATGTAGTTGTATGCCAGAAACATTGATCCACATGAACAATCTCCTCTTTGAGATTTTGATTTGTCCCATTGCTGGTGGCCCCTGTCTAATCTCAACTTCAGAAACAGCAAAAACCCCTTTTCTCTCATTCAGTCACCTTTTCTGCATCACCTTTATTCTTAAAACTAAACGTGGATGCTCCTGTAGATTGTCATGTAGAAGATTCCTAAGTTTTTTAGGGAAGCTTTTTTTTTTGATGAATAACATAGAATTTATTAAAAGCAGAATTAAAGTCACACCAAGGGTAGCCTCGGTTACCCCTGAGAGTTTAAACATTACAAAACCACCCGACTTTACTTTTGAAGTTACATCTGAGCCCAGAAACAGATTTCCCTGTGCACCCCCTGTTTTGCTAGTTGATCTACCAGGCTGTTAGCCGATCTTGGGATCCATTGAAATTCCACTTGCATACCATCTGTAAACCTTTTAACCTTCTTGATCTCTTTTCTAAAGAAGGTTAATAATCACCTTCTTTAGGGAAGCTTATTAAACACCTGACTAGCAATTCCATTCCCATATATATGTTTGTATATATATTCCAGTTAAAATTGTTTTTTTTTTTCATGTTTTATTAATTTCAGGTATATGCAAAAGGTGGGAAGACTATTGTTTTCACACAAACAAAACGGGATGCCGATGAGGTGTCAATGGCCTTAACTAATAGTGTTGCGTCAGAGGCACTACATGGTGATATATCTCAACATCAGAGAGAGAGAACATTGAATGGGTTTCGACAGGGGAAATTCACCGTGCTTGTTGCCACAGATGTTGCAGCTCGTGGGCTTGACATCCCCAATGTTGATTTGGTAAGTCAATAACAGCTGTATTTATTCTTAAATATTAGGATTTTGTATTGGTACTTCATAACCTTTCTTCTGTGAAGAGAATGAATCCTATCAATGAAGCAAATTGTGTTCAGGAGAAGTTGGATCATACTTATTCTCCCACAAGAGGAGATGTATGAATCCCATTGCTAAGGCAAACTGGGCTGCATGCAAAATTGGTTCGTAATCATTCTTCCATTTTCTGTGGGTTTTGTTAATGAGCAATGACTTAAACCCTAGTCAAAATCTTAGACTATTGGCATTGTGTTGAAGGATGCACAATATCTCAAATTCAAATACGAAGATGAGTTAATTGTTTAAACTTCATGTTAAACAACATCTTAAATTCGTTGATCTATTTTATCTTAAATTTGGAGTGTCAAAATTCACTCAATTGTGAAGGGCATGGGTTGAACAAGTTTTTTATTTGATCGGTTATGAATTGAGCAAGTTATTACCAATTTACAGATAGCCAAAAAGTGTGTGCAGGATTCTAGTAATGTCAAACTTGGTAAAAAAGGTGAACTTTTTGGATAACTTATAGGACTTTTTGTTAGTTTTAACATTTGTTCACTATGAGTTAGAACCAGTGTTCTGAAAATCGTAATCGTATGGTAAGTCGTAAAGGGGTTTGAATCAAATTGTATCGTGAATTGTATCATAAATCGTAAGATTTTTTTCTTATTTTTTCAAAAGCTGTTAAAACTCTAAAATATACCTAAATCCTTCTCTCAAAAAAAAAATAGAAAAGAAAAAATGACTTTGCACAAGCAAAGTCATGCAAAAATGAATGAAAAACATGGGACGGAACCCCTGTTTTCATGCCAAAAAATGATTGAAACAAATGGGGCGGAGCCCCTGTTTTTATGCCAAAACACCGAATGAAATAAATAGGACAGAGCCCCTGTTTTCATGCCAAAAAACCAACTGAAATAAAGAAGAAAGAAGACAAGAAGAAAGGAGGAAGAGGAGGAAGAAGAAGAAAGAAAGAAAGAAAGAAAGAAAGAAGAAGAAATCAATACAAACCATGTACAGATAATATAAAAACAGTAGAAATAAAAAAAAAAACTCACCTTTCAATGCAGACAAGTAGAGGAGGTTTGGAGCTTCACCGATACAACGGAGGACGGTTTTTTCTCTTCCAGTTTCCTGCCAAGTCTTTTCCTTCAATTGTAAGTCATGTTTGATCGACCAAAGTGGATATTCTATGTTTTATAACTAAAATGACGAATTTTCCCCTCTATGTAAAAGAGAAACTTTAAAAAGGAAGAGGGTTAAGTGGTCATTTAATCTTAAGCTTTCAAACTCTAATCGTATGAATCGTCCAAGAATCACGATTTATGATTTACACTAGCAATTTGCTTACAAATTGTACGATTCATTCAAAAAACGATTTATATATATGATTTGCATCATTTTAGCCCCGATTCAATTTGAATCGTATATCATACGATTTTGAAAACATTGGTTAGAAATTAGGGAAACAACTCTATATAATGCGATATTATTGCAGTGAAAGAGATGAAAATATTTGCTTTTGCCTTTGCTTTATTTGGTCTCGATGCCAAACTTTCTTAATGGTGCACACTCATTCATGAATTTATTAGGTGATGATTCCTAATAGTTTCCCTAGATGCTGATTTTTAAATAAGCCTTGGTGCTGATTCTTGGGTTATTTCATTCTTTTTTTTTCTTATTTTGCAGGTTCATCTTGCATTAGTTTGGTATCACAATTTATGGTTTATCACTTTATTCTTACAAATATATACGTACATATATTTATCCGTATGTCCAGATTCACTGTTGATTAAGGGTATGATGTTACATGATGTTGAAGTTTTTTTATTAGACTTCTTTGTGTGTAGAAGAGAGACTGACCAAGCATAGGTGGACTATACACAGATAACCATGGTACTATTTTAGAGGTTGGTGATTCCACAAAGACTGAAGTGTTAGCAGTGTTATATGGATTGAAATTGGGCAGATTTCTTAACCTTAGAACATTAGTGGTAGAAAGGGATCCCAGCGTGATAGTGGGCTGGCTAAGAAATTATATTAAGTTTTTGTGGCAATATAAGGGGAAATAAGATGCGTGGCTTGGGAATTATAGCCACCTATTTTTGGTTTCATAGATCGACAAATGGTTTGGTTGATACAATGGCTAAACAAGGGGTTAATAGGATTGGAGTAAAGCAAAGTTTAGAGCTGTGAATGTGGAAAAGACAGAATTTTTTGAAAAAATTGCCCGGTTGGATGCTAAAGAGCAAGAGGGTCAGCTTGACCAAGATGACTTCAAGAAAAGGGAAGCTGCTAGGGCTGAGTGGGAACAACGAATTTGGAGGGCAGAAGTCTACTGGAGACAGATCTAGAATTCAGTGGATCAAAGAAGGAGATAACAACACCTGTATCTATCATAAGTTTGCTAATGATAAAAACTGGATGATGAGGTAGAAGTTGATGATCAGGATTGTCATAAAGACTGAAATTCTCAAAGTCTTAAATTTCCTCTACTCTTCCAAGAGAAGCTGGAGACCTTTCCTTGAGAGATGGAATGGGCCAAATTGTCAGATAACAAAATAACTGGATTGGAAGTGGAGTTCAGTGAAATGGAGATAAAGGAGGCTGTTTTTTTTCCTTAAATGAAGACAAGGCATCTGGCCAAGATGGATTTTCTTTGGATTTCTTTCATGAATGCTGGGATATCATTAAATCTTATGGAGGTGTTCAAAGACTTCTATAATGCCGCTAAAATCAACATCATTAACAATTCTACCTTCATTAAGTTGCTTCTAAAAAAAGAAGGGGTTCCTGAAGCCAACGGAGGAACAAAAATAGATGGGACAACAACTTGAACCTAGTAGTCGATCAAGACTACAATCAGAGTCTTGAATCCTAAAGTAAAAGAAAAGATTTCAGAAGGAGAAAAGAAGAAGAAAAGAGGGAGAAAAGCAGAAGCACACGAAGGGTTTTAGAAAAGGAGAGAGAGGGTCGAATTGTTCTGATCTGCCAACCCACTCTTAATATTTATATGTTTACTAATTGTAAAAAGGCTGAATTGCCCTTATTGCTTACATGGAAAATAAATAAGAATAAAGCTGAAATAACAAGCTGTAACAACAAACTGAAATAACTACCAACTAACACTGACATAACTAACAAAGAATACATGCTATGCTGCCATACAAACACAGTGGGGACCACAGCTGTGGGTCCACATCAATGTTCTCTACACTCCCCCTCAAGTTGGGAATAGATATTTGTCATTCCCAACTTGCATAGGTCTGCCTCTAACTTCTTCCTTGGAACAGCCTTGGTGAGAAGATCTACGAGCTGCATGCTGGAGGTGATATACGGGAGACACACTTCTTGAGATGAAACCCTTAATCTAACATAATGTCAATCGACTTCGATATGTTTAGTTCTGTCATGCTGTACCGGATTGTGAGTTATATTAATAGCAGCCTGATTATCACAATACAACATCAAGGGCTTCTCATAATCAATACCCAACTCTTCAAGTAATGACTTCAGCCACACCATTAGCCATCGATCTATATTCAGCTTCAACACTAGAACGAGAAACAACACTTTGTTTTTTACTCCTCCAGGAGACAAGGTTACCTCCTACAAAGGCACAATATCCAGAGGTAGACCTCCTGTCATCAGCACTCTCAGCCCAATCAACATCTATATAGACCTCTATCTTCATGTGATCATTATTCTTGAATAATATWCCTCTACCTGGACATCTCTTCAAGTATGCTAATATTCTCTCAACTGCAAGGAGGTGAGTAGTTCTAGGAGAATGCATGTATTGACTGACAACACTGACTGCATAACTGATGTTTGGTCGTGTGAGACGAAGATAGAGGAGTTTTCCAACCAACCGTTGGAACATAGCTTTGTCTTCAAGAGGCTCTCTACCCTCTGCACTGAGTAGTTCTAGTCTTTGAAGATTATCGGTAGGAGCAGGGAAGGATGAGTGGAAGAAAAGAAGGGTGCTAGTGGCTGATAGAGGAGTGATAGATTGGAGAAGGGTTCTGTGTACAGTGGCTGGGGAGTTAGGATTTGGGAGTGAAGCTATGTTGTTTCCTTTTGTAGAGACTATAGCCGTGCTTGATGTAGGCGACCAGGAGCTAAGTTTTAAAGCAGTAGTGGTGGATGGAGTTCTGATACAAGTTCAGAACTGGAGTCCAATAATGAAGTCGAAGTCCAAGATGGGTGTGTCCGGTTGAAGCTTGTAGGCCTTCCATTTCACCTTTGGCGGAACTCTGTTCTTGAGCACATTGTGCAATGTCTGGGAGGCATCTTGGTGAAAGCTGATAAACGAAATCTGGGTGTCGTGGAGTTACAGGTTGCTGGTGTAAGGCACGAGAACCTACCGAGGGTCATTGAAATATGCTTGAATGAAGCCTGGTACAAGGTGTGGGTGGCCTCTGAGGTTGAACGGTCGTGGTGGGGAGGTGTTCCTAAGGTAGAAGATGATGAGCTGGCTGGGTGGTGGACACGTGGAGGGCAGAGGGTGGGAGATGAAAAGTGGAGCAGATGAAAGTTATTTTTGGGGTTACTGAGCCGGCTAGGGAAAACCAAACAACAAGCAACCTAATTAAGGAAACTAATTCAAATGGGTTTGAATTAAACAAATTAATGGCGGGTCCTTCTTCTTATGCTGACGTGGCAAAGAGGCAGGATGGGTTGGGGAGCCGAAAGGTTTGGTCCGAGCCGTTGAAGGTGGAGGGTGGGTCGTGCGGGGTGAAGTTTGAGCCGGGACAGTGTTGAAAGGGCCCATGTGACAACTTAAAAGGTCACACGGGCGGGTCGGGTGGGTGTAACACCGAAAGGAGGTTCCACTTGAAGGATCCACGTGATAACTTAAAATATCATGTGGGTCGGGGCAAAGGGGTTTCTCTTGGGGCGTTGATAGACAATGTTAATGGTCTATCATCGTCCCAAGTCGCGAGAAAGGGGGGGGGCTTGTGCGC